AACTACTGTACAGAATATTTTGTGATCAGGGCACTGCCTCTCAGATACCACTGTTCAAGGCTTGAATTAAAAGGTTTTTTTGTTTTTTACTTTTTTACACTGGGCTTTCTACCTTACATCACAGTATATAAATTAATTAGATTAATAGCCTTTGCCTAGCAATCCTCTGACAACTGGTCAACTTCTTATCTTAAATTGTTGATTTGTGTTAAATACAGTACATACACGTTTACATAAAAATACATTTTGTATACAGAGACTTTTGTATATACATTTTTCTTAAAACTTATGAGTGTTTAGTTAAGATTTTAATATTGTATAATACTCTTCACAATTGAATTTACCAGCATGATCAGTGTTGCTATTTGGTGCTCTTGAATGACCACTTTGGACTAAATTTGAAGTGTAATGGGATCCACAGTGTCTCCTTATGTCTCTGAAAAGTTCTGTTGCAATTTTGCTTTCTCCCCTTTTTTTTTTTTTTAATTATTTAATATTTAGTGATTTTTGCAGTATAGATCTAAAAGGGACTTTTTGGAGAAGTTTGTTTTGAAACTCTTTGGGTGGGAGGGTTGGGAATGTGCGTGATGCGTAATATAGCAAAAAAGCTAAGCTTTCTAGCTTTCAGTAGTACTCAAAAAGAGCATGAGAGATGTCCTATGTTGGTGATTTTTAGAATGCTTTACATTTTCTGCCTCCCTTTTCTTCATTCACGCTCACTTCTGTAATGTCCTTAATAGTATCAGGGTTAAGCTGTGGCCCTTTCAGGGGGCAGTGATGCTATTTTTGCTGAATAATTTCAAAGTACGATTTCCAATACTGAAATTCAAATGTGTTTAGCAATTGGGGTTAAGATTTGTACTGTTAGTATTATTGCCTTGAATCTAGGCATGCATTTGGATCGCTGAATTAGTTAACAGCAGAATTCATCAACAAGGCCAAAAGTATCTATGTTACTAGTGTAAAACACTGTTACTAGTGTAAACACTTCCACAGGTGAAGTTAATTGGGTATATTGACCTAAATAGTGTCTCTTCATATATCAGTGTTGTTAACTTTGTTTCCAATGAGGTTCATTGGCTTGAAGTAGGGATAATCCTGTAAATCATTCATATAATTTTAAAGAAATGCTGAAAAGTGGTACCGGTCTTTAATCTGGAATAACCTTAAATTTTTCATTTTTAGGTCATAAATGGAAACATTTCTAATTGACAGTATGTAGCATATGTGTATATGTAATGTTCAGAACTGCAGATTTTTAAAAGTTTCTATTTTTAATTTGAGAAAATGTTCCCAATTCATTTAAATAAAAAAGAACTTGCTTAACTACCTGATGTTTGGTTCTCAATTCTTTTGCTGTGTAGACCTGTCTCAGAAGAGTTGCACTGAGTTAAAAATCTTTCAAAAATGATTTTGGTTTTACCCTGATTAAAAAATGGTGCTGTATTTGACATTTGTTGATGACTTTACCTTAAGCAAGGTAAGAGACCAAGAACTGGAGCAGGAAGGACTGAGAGAACATTGACTCTGGGTGAGGGATCTTCCAGCTTCCACCAAGGATGTGATTTATACAAAGATGGTAGGATGAGCAAGTGCTCAAGGTATTACCGCTTCCCTCCATTGTTTCTGTAGCAGAAATTAAATGTTTCCCAGTTCTTTAGGTCCCGTGATTCACTGCTAACTTGTGAATCCTAGCTTAATTTCTAAAAGGACTGATAGAACAGACCATGAGCGGTTTCATCTGAAGCACAGAGGACACAAATGGCAGGTGGGAGCGAGACAAACACTTGGCAGTAATGTATTAACTGTAATACATAAAAATACCAGGGCTCTTGAGTCCAAGCTTTGGTATTTGTCCTTATCCTTCTAGTCTGATTTGTTTTCGTGGTTACACTTTGAAAACTTTCAGAACAAGAGGTCTGAAACTGGGATAAAGTAACTTTTAAGTTGTTTTGAACTCTTTAACAATTATTAGAGCAAGAGACATTAATGCTTTTTGTTTCTAATCTAGGAACTGTCAGTGCTGTTGTGCATAACCAAGTGTAAATAATACATTCGTTTGTCAAATATTAGGAGGCCTTTGAGTGCTTGCAGTAGGGATTTGAAGTCCTTGAAATGAAGTGTGACGGGGGCAACGAGATTCTTCTGTCTGGCTGGATAACGGTGAGGAGGCTCCCCAGAAGACAACAGAAGAATGAATTGTAAATCTTCAGTAGCTTGTGCAATCACAGTTTCTCCTAAGACTTGGCTGGGGAGCCACACCACTTTGCATTTTTTGCAATTTTATTTTTTCATTCTGCTTCGCTGTCATGTGTTAAATTAATGGTTTTGCCCTTGGTGTTTTCTGTAGTGATACCTTCCGAGTGGCTAGATATACAAAATGGTTTTCCATTCCATTATGTAGGGCTGTTCTTAAACCCAGGGTTTCCAGCACCCCCCAGTTACTCAAGCATACCCTAAATAATATGATACTCCTTCCAGAAGCTGTTCAGGTCAGGCTGGAAAAGTCCTGTGGCTTGCAATAACACGGGAGGGGTTTTTCTTCATGACCTCCTGAATGCCAGGGGAGTTACTAGGGTTTTTTCTTAGCTCTGCTTTTAGTTACTGCAGCAGAAACTGCTAGTACAGGATTCTGCACTAAAATATCTCTATTCTCTTGCCTTTTTTTTATGGTATTTTTACAGCTCATTTATTATGAACAGGAAAATATTTATTTAACAAAAATAAATAGGGACAATGAAAGGTGATAAAGCACCAATATCTGTCCGACGTCCTCTGGGGTCTATTCCTGCTGCTGTGACCCATGATATCCTAGTTCTGTTGTCTTGCTCTGTTGGCTGAAACTAACCCATGGTGTGACAACGGTGGTAAGACTTTCAAATCTATGTTTAGGCTTGTAATACCTTATTTTGCTAAAGCTTTATTCCTTATCTTACTTAAATGTTGCGAGTCTAAAAATCTTCCATGGCTCAAAGAATGTGCGGTTGATTCTTCCATGTGTCCCCACGACATGTCATTTGCTGACAAAATAAAGTACTAAAGTTGCATTCTTACTGGTCAAATCCACAGAAAACCTGTTCCACAAATCAGACTTTGTTAGTAGGACACATTTATAATCATCCAGATGTAGCTGCATGGATTGCTTTGGCACTTTTTTTTTTTTTATTGGGTATATTGACCTAAATAGTGTCTCTTCATATATCAGTGTTGTTAACTTTGTTTCCAATGAGGTTCATTGGCTTGAAGTAGGGATAATCCTGTAAATCATTCATATAATTTTAAAGAAATGCTGAAAAGTGGTACCGGTCTTTAATCTGGAATAACCTTAAATTTTTCATTTTTAGGTCATAAATGGAAACATTTCTAATTGACAGTATGTAGCATATGTGTATATGTAATGTTCAGAACTGCAGATTTTTAAAAGTTTCTATTTTTAATTTGAGAAAATGTTCCCAATTCATTTAAATAAAAAAGAACTTGCTTAACTACCTGATGTTTGGTTCTCAATTCTTTTGTTGTGTAGACCTGTCTCAGAAGAGTTGCACTGAGTTAAAAATCTTTCAAAAATGATTTTGGTTTTACCCTGATTAAAAAATGGTGCTGTATTTGACATTTGTTGATGACTTTACCTTAAGCAAGGTAAGAGACCAAGAACTGGAGCAGGAAGGACTGAGAGAACATTGACTCTGGGTGAGGGATCTTCCAGCTTCCACCAAGGATGTGATTTATACAAAGATGGTAGGATGAGCAAGTGCTCAAGGTATTACCGCTTCCCTCCATTGTTTCTGTAGCAGAAATTAAATGTTTCCCAGTTCTTTAGGTCCCGTGATTCACTGCTAACTTGTGAATCCTAGCTTAATTTCTAAAAGGACTGATAGAACAGACCATGAGCGGTTTCATCTGAAGCACAGAGGACACAAATGGCAGGTGGGAGTGAGACAAACACTTGGCAGTAATGTATTAACTGTAATACATAAAAATACCAGGGCTCTTGAGTCCAAGCTTTGGTATTTGTCCTTATCCTTCTAGTCTGATTTGTTTTTGTGGTTACACTTTGAAAACTTTCAGAACAAGAGGTCTGAAACTGGGATAAAGTAACTTTTAAGTTGTTTTGAACTCTTTAACAATTATTAGAGCAAGAGACATTAATGCTTTTTGTTTCTAATCTAGGAACTGTCAGTGCTGTTGTGCATAACCAAGTGTAAATAATACATTCATTTGTCAAATATTAGGAGGCCTTTGAGTGCTTGCAGTAGGGATTTGAAGTCCTTGAAATGAAGTGTGACGGGGGCAACGAGATTCTTCTGTCTGGCTGGATAACGGTGAGGAGGCTCCCCAGAAGACAACAGAAGAATGAATTGTAAATCTTCAGTAGCTTGTGCAATCACAGTTTCTCCTAAGACTTGGCTGGGGAGCCACACCACTTTGCATTTTTTGCAATTTTATTTTTTCATTCTGCTTCGCTGTCATGTGTTAAATTAATGGTTTTGCCCTTGGTGTTTTCTGTAGTGATACCTTCCGAGTGGCTAGATATACAAAATGGTTTTCCATTCCATTATGTAGGGCTGTTCTTAAACCCAGGGTTTCCAGCACCCCCCAGTTACTCAAGCATACCCTAAATAATATGATACTCCTTCCAGAAGCTGTTCAGGTCAGGCTGGAAAAGTCCTGTGGCTTGCAATAACACGGGAGGGGTTTTTCTTCATGACCTCCTGAATGCCAGGGGAGTTACTAGGGTTTTTCTTAGCTCTGCTTTTAGTTACTGCAGCAGAAACTGCTAATACAGGATTCTGCACTAAAATATCTCTATTCTCTTGCCTTTTTTTAATGGTATTTTTACAGCTCATTTATTATGAACAGGAAAATATTTATTTAACAAAAATAAATAGGGACAATGAAAGGTGATAAAGCACCAATATCTGTCTGACGTCCTCTGGAGTCTATTCCGGCTGCTGTGACCCATGATATCCTAGTTCTGTTGTCTTGCTCTGTTGGCTGAAACTAACCCATGGTGTGACAACGGTGGTAAGACTTTCAAATCTATGTTTAGGCTTGTAATACCTTATTTTGCTAAAGCTTTATTCCTTATCTTACTTAAATGTTGCGAGTCTAAAAATCTTCCATGGCTCAAAGAATGTGCGGTTGATTCTTCCATGTGTCCCCACGACATGTCATTTGCTGACAAAATAAAGTACTAAAGTTGCATTCTTACTGGTCAAATCCACAGAAAACCTGTTCCACAAATCAGACTTTGTTAGTAGGACACATTTATAATCATCCAGATGTAGCTGCATGGATTGCTTTGGCACTTTTTTTTTTTTTAAACTTCAATATGGTCTTACAAGCTCTGGCATGAAGACAGCTATAAAGCAGCTGGAGAATGGAAAATATCTGTTAAAAATCAAATATGACATGTTCATCCTGGATAGGAATGTGCTTCTTGGTTATACAACTATCGTTCTGTATTTAACTGCATTTACAAGATTTGTCTTGTTACCTTCCTAGGAGTTCACAGGTTATTCGACACTCCCTTGGGCTATAAATTACGTGCACATGCCTACTGAAGTGAGATTTATTATTTTTATTTCAAAAAAACCCACCTTACATCCCACATTTCGCTGGAAAGAGGCCCCTTTGTGCACCGAGTCTTTAAATTGTGAGCAGCCGCTTACTTATTGCTTTCACTTTTCCGGATCGTGTTGCTCAAGGGTCTCAGTCAGCTCCTCTCACCATGAAGAGTTTTGCTCTTCTTTTCCTGGTGGTGGTGGGAGGATTGGGACAATCCTCTGGCGTGGAAGGATTGGGACAAAAGCTGAAGCCAAAGAAAAGAAGCAATGGCGAAGAAATCAGATTTCGGACTAAAACCAAAGATGTTTGCACAATGAGCATGAGTGGGGACGAGGAGATGAGACTTAGGATCGAATGCAAAAGCCAAGGCATGTCCTACTGGTGTGAATTTGCTGGCAAGCCATCGGTCTGTCGTGCTTTCAGAAACAATCCAAAGATTTACTGGAATCAGATCGCCGCCGAACTCCGAAAGCTCCCCCACGCTTGTGAATCCACACAAGTCCTGAAGACCACCATGTGCCAAAAGGCTCCCACAGAGGCTCTCATGAAGCAAATAGCTGCTGGTATGGAGCCAGAAGATCTAGCGAACCAGGACGAATCAGATCAGAAAACTTCTACGAGGGGAGCAGGGAAAAGCTCTGTTAAGAAAATAGGGAAACTTCCAATGCTCCCTCTTGTAAGACCAACCCATCGTGGTCAGGGGTCTGAGAATGAGACGGAAGCAATGAAACTGGCACGGGAGCACTGCTGGGAATCCCTGCATGGTTTCTGCTCCTACATTATTGGCATCTTTAGAGGTTAAGGATGTGCTTCAGGTAAAACTCCCATCTTTAAGCACAGCAGAATATACCTAAGAGTAATGCTGTTGTAGTTCTGTTTTATTTTGATCTTGGGGGTCTCTCAGGGGTGCAGACAAGGAGCTTCTGGGCTCACTCACTAAAATCTACTGTGGCTTCTGAGGGGCTGGACAGCTTAAACTCGTAGTGATGGCTACTAGTTCAGGACCCCCTGACAGCCTCCTGTGAGGTCTTTAGTATGTGCTGAGATGTTTGTCGTGTCTGTTATTAATCTTATTGCAGTTCAAACTGTTTGTATTGGGCTCGTTTTCTGCCTTCTGTCATTCCTTCCCTCTTGTGCTGACTGCTGGATTTCAGCCAGCGAAGTAAGATCAATAACAAACACATCAGCTGGAACAATTTAAAACTACATTCAGAAATTGAGAGGATAAAGCTTGTCCATCAAAACTGCTAGTTAATGATTAACCATTTTAATTTTAAAAATTAGTTCACAAGCAACGCATGCAGATGTGAGTAAAACCAAACAGACTGTCTTGGTTTGTGGATACATTTCTGTGAGACGACAGGGGATCACAGGCAGGAGCCTTTCAGCCAGGATTTAAAAAGGCAAAGTCCTCACAGATTGATTTTATACTCACTTCTATTTCATCTTGGAGAGAAAGCCAGTGGCTGGTGATTTTATATATATAATATAATCAAGCCTTTCAGCCAGGATTTAAAAAGGCAAAGCCCTCACAGATTGGTTTTCTACTCACTTCTATTTCATCTAGGAGAGAAAGCCAGGAGCTGGTGATTTTATACGTATAATATAATCAATATATATATATGTATATACACACATATATGCAGCATGAGCCAGCAAGCGTTTAGGCTGCTAATGATCTTATTTCTGCGGCAGAGTGACTAATTTTTTTTCTCTTTTTTGTTTTGCAGAGCAAAGTTTTTACAGCTGAAGAAAGGTCCTTGCTGTAGTTTAATAATTTAGATGTAAGAATTTGGGGTTTAAAAACGAGTCGTCTCTATAAATCTTGTAGCTGTTCTCTCTGTGCACCCCTAAAATGCAAACTTTTTAACTGCCCTGAAAAACGCATGAAATTGGAGTGACTGTACTGAAAGTGTTAGGATGAACTAACTGTCCGTAGGTCTGTCACACACCAAGGCACATTTATGTAACCCAGGTTCCACTTTTAGGAGTGTGTGTGCTGGTTCGCTTCAGTTTGTTCGAGGTGAAAGCTGTAAATGATGCTACAGTTAGTGCAAACAATAAAAATAAGATTTTTCGAAAACATATTCGGTGTGCTTTTTTAAAAATTTGAACGGTACTATTTGTATAAAGTCATGGTATTTGATACTTGTTTCTTAAGAGATTGTTGGTAGAATGTGTAAGATGAGTTACGGGTCTGAGTCATTGCTTTCCCACTGTGAGCATGTTTTCATTAATATTAATATTTTCAATGTTCCTGTGTTTATATTACGATGATAAGTTTCAGCCAGCAGGGAAAAAACGGCTGGAGAAATGAGAGGAATGTAAGAATACATTTCTAAACATAACAGATTAGAAGTGTTCAGCTGTGCGGCATCTGCGGAGCCGAGTGTTATTAGGATCTGTGGGTGGTAATATTATTAACATTTGGGTTTGGTAAATATTCTGAAAGGTAACTCATATCTATGCACTTGGGCACTTGCATAAATCTCATCAACCTTGAAATAATTTTCTGTCCTCAATCCTCTTGAAATGAGAAAGAACAGCAAGTAATGAACATGGGATCAGTGCAGAAGGTTGTATGTAAAAGGCAGAAGTATGGCTTGATTGCTGATCAAATGCAAGCTCAAACAAATCTCTGGTTTTGTCATCTATAAATCTGATGTGGTTAATTTTCATTTCTAACTTCAATTACCTTTGCCAGGCTCTTGTGCTGTGAGTAAAAAATGTAGTAGTACGCCTACTCACTTCTTTCTGTCATAGAAATGAATATAATTGGTTTGTAAATGTATGAAATGCCTCAAAGTGATATTTGGGAACTATTTGGAAATGTTAAAGAGAGGTTGAAGTTTTTCTTGAGGTGTGCTTTTTAAATATTTTAAAATTGCTCTTTTGTATGATGCAGAATCCGCGCTGCAGAGTTGAATATTTCGCAGTAGTATCCACTACAACAGTAATTACCTCGAAAATGAGACTGTGTCTTGCATTGAGAGAAGTCTGGGAGGATCAGCCCCCCACCATACTGATAGCAGGAGAAGAGAGAAGGTTTCATCAGTTCACTAAAAGAAAATTTTTCCCCTTTATGCCCTCTCCTGGGTGCAGAAAGCAGCAGAGTGGCCTGGCACTTTGTAGAACTCTTGATGATACAGTCTAAAATACGTGGCCATCATTGACTCTGCTTAGTAGAGGACAAATGCCACATCCTTGCTAGTGCACTGCTTCCCAGGGAATTCATACCTTGTTTCATAGGGCAGAGTCCTGCTGCACAGGGCTCAGTGCCCGAGGCTGTGTTGTCTGCATTGCTAGTGCACTGCTTCCCAGGGAATTCATACCTCCTTTCATAGGGCAGAGTCCTGCTGCACAGGGCTCAGTGCCCAACGCTGCGTTGTCACCACCCGAAGCTTCACTGTTGAAGTGGAAGCTAGAAATCTAATAGTCTTGCACCAAAGGACCTTCCTTCATGAAATTCTTCTGGTAAAATAGCCAGGATCCAAAATACACAGTGAAGCACTAAATTTGATGAAAAGGTGAAGATTTTGGTAGCAAGGTGATGCGTGGCTTGGATTGCATTTCATTGGGCAGCACTATGCATCCTTAGCAAGTCCATTAACTGTAATGATCTTGCCTTCAAAATGTTTAAAAATTGAATATTTGCTGAAATACCTCCCCTTAGTGTAACAGTGCCATGATTGTATCAGCTACATTACCATTTAATTGTGTTTAGCTCTGGAAGCCTGCAGTCGTGACGTTTCAGTTGCGGCCTTGGTATGAAAGTGCTATTCATTGATGAAAGGATGAATTGAGAAGTGTTTGCGGTGAGTTTAATGCAGCCTTCAAGCACCTCCTGAATGAATGAGACCTGCTGTTTCATTCATTTTAGCTTAACCTGTTAGTCCCCACATACGTAAGTGCCTCAGGAAATCCGCTCAAGTGGAGATGGAATTTGTCTTTATTTTCTTGTCAGAGGAACAGCAGGCAAAATTGTTTGTCTGGATTCCTGCAGGCAGGGAGACCTCTGATGTCCAGGCCTGCTGCTTCTGCTCCTAATTCAGGCCAACGTGAGGTAGTCCACCTGCCTCAAGATCCTCACCCTTAGGTTCCCACAGAAGCATCATGATTATTTGCTACTTTGACAAGGTAAGCCTCTGAGAAAAGTAAAATGATACATTTGGAGAACCTGTGCATAAAAGGATGTGTGTTTAACACGCATAGTTAAGATCCAGAAAAGACTGGAGCGAGTGTAATGGAGAGCCACCAAAATGGTTGGGACTGGAGCACATTCCTGTGAGGGAAGGCCAAGGGATCAGGTCTCATTCAGCCTGGAGAAGGCTTTAGGGGAGACCTGGTAGCCAGCCCCCAGTACATATGATGAGGATGTAGAGAATATGGCTCTTCACTGATTTGTGTGGAAGGAAAAAAAAAGATCATGGTCACAAATTGATACAGGTGAGGTTCTGACCTGGTATAAGGAAAAATATTCACTGTAAGGACAATAAACACAGGTGCAGCAGCTCCAGTATCTTCATCTGTGGAGCTTCTCCTCAAGTCCAACTGAACAGTGTTTAAGCAACATGGTATGAATTTATTATGACCCTGCTTTGAGCAGGTTTGACTACAAACTTCCCAAGGTGCCTTCTGGCCTGACTGATTCTATGATTTACAATGGAAACACAGAAGAAAGCTTAAAAGTTCTGGTTATTTAATAGTGAACACCTCTGTTAGCATCTGTGTCTCCTTAAAGTGTAAAAACGGTGCTTGGATCAAACATTCTAACTATATCAAATTGACAGATTTAGAGACGTGGTTTAGTAATGTGGGTATGTTTGGGGTTTGTAGAGACATGGTTTAGTAATGTGGGTGTGTTTGGGGTTTTTTTTTGGTTTTTCAGTTAGGTTGATGGTTGGACTAGATGATCTTAAAGGTCCCTTCCAACCTAGACAATTCTATGACATAGATGATTTTCTTAAGTACATTCTGATGGCAGATTCCATCATTAAGTTGCATGTGTTGTCTTAAGGTCCCTTCCAACCTAGACAATGCTATGACAGAGATGATTTTCTTAAGTACGTTCTGATGGCAGATCCCATCATTAAGTTGCATGTGTTGTCTTGGATAACTTCATGTTCAGTGCCTTTGTCTTATGGTACATATTTTTATGTAGCCTGGTTTTGACAGCAGAGAAAATCAACAAGAAGTTCAGGTTTTAAGGAACACCGAACATCAGGTTCATTTATTTTAAAATCAAGTATCCAAAACTAAGAAAATTGCCATTTTCAGCGTGTAGGTTACTTGTGTTAAAGTTGACCAAATCCACGCCTCAATAATCATGTTGCTTTGTCAGCCCATAAGTCATCTCAACTATGCAGTAGTGCACTCTGGTGTTTTCTGAGAGAACTGTGTAGGTGTGTTGCCTGGTCGTTCTTGCATGGTTTGCAGTCTTGATTTTTCAGTTGGTGTCGTAGCTGATATGGCATGGATCCTAGGGACAGAGTTCTCCCACAAAAATAAGAAGATAATGGAAAAACTAAAATTTGCCAAAGTTGCCTGTTGCCGTCCCTGCTTCTTTAGGAGCTTTATGGTTATCAGTTTCTTTTATATGTCTCTCTTGCTATTAGTTTTCCCAATCTCTGCTTTCTTCCCTGAAGAGGAGCCAGACCCAGCACAGGAGATTTCTTTTGGCTCTCTCTGCTTTTCCCCTTGCGAACGAGAGGATTGCTCTCGTCAGACTTCACAGACCATTTCACAGTGACAGAAAGTGGGCGATACATACACGAAAACAGGGATAAGAAAACCAAGCGTTAGGCAGGAGGCCAGAGTAGCTGAATTTCCAGAGTGGCTCTATGGCAGTGTGTACAGAGCAAGAAAAAAAATGAAGCTGGTGTCTGAAGGGGAGTTGGAAGTTCATGTCCCCCCCCTACCTCATCCTCCCTCTCCTCGGCTGGTTATTAAACTGTTTGTGCAAACGGCTGCTCTCTGTTGGCATCCCAGCCCTACAATGACTGTAGTCAGGATGGGGAACAGAGGTGGCCTTTTAGGTCTGCTGCCTGAGGACGTAAAGAACTGCTGTCGCCACCACCTGTAAAAATTAATGTGTAAATGGTGAAGTTGGTTGCCCCTTTATTTGCCTTACCAGCATAACGTGGCCTGCTGGGGGGGCCCTCCCCACAAAATGGCTGTAATAAAATAAAGAATCTGCCTAGGAACTGAAGAGAGGGCTAGAGACTTCCCCCCGAAGGAAATGGTGAGCAAAACTCAGGCTCTGAACTCTGACAGAGGGGCCTCCACCTTTCCTCTGCCAAAACAGAGCGGGAGTGCTGCCTTCTCCCCTCTCACTCCCCCCCTCACTGCTCTTCCTTCTCCCCTCTCACTCCCGCTTCGAGGAGGCACAGGCCACACACGGCTGCTGTCACCCAGGTACTGAGGTGCTCCCCTGTCGTCTACGCTCCAGAAATTTAACGTGGGAGTACACAGATTCGTGTTTGCTGGGGAAGGTTATTAGAGAAGAAGTCTTATGAGGGAACTGGGCATGTTTAGTTTGAAGAAGAGGAGGCTGAGGGGAGACCTCATTGCCCTCTACAACTGCCTGAAAGGAGGCTGCAGAGAGGTGAGTGTTGGCCTGTTCTCCCAAGGGAATAATGACAGGACCAGAGGAAATGGGCTGAAGGTTTTAGATTAGATATTAGGAAGAATTACTTTACTGAGAGAGTGGTCAGGCACTGGAACAGCCTGCCCAGGGAGGTGGTGGAGTCGCCATCCCTGAGGTATTTAAGAAACGTATAGACATGGCTCTTCAGGGCATGCTCTTGTGCCTGAGATTGTTGGTTTGTGTCTGTTTGTGGGTTTGTTTGGTTTTTTGGGTTTTGATTTTGGTTTTTTTTGCATTTGGACTTGATGATCTCAAAGGTCCCTTCCAATCATGAAGATTCTGTGATTCTTTGATCTGATCCCCTCACAATATGGCGGGAGACCCGACCAGTGTGGGAAGGTGACAGGAGGGAAGAGCGGAGTGGGGTTGCTACACCTGTGTGCAGAAAACATTGCCTGAGACCATCGTGGCTCTTTGGTACCTCAGATGGCCCAAATGA